GCACAGGAGTCGGTGATGTTTTTACGACGGTCTTTCGGCTTAGTGAGTTTAATTTCTGCAATTTAGTTGACACACAGGAAATGCAATAGCAAGTCAGCAATATGGACGCCGTGCATAAAACCCAAGCGATGACGTAATAGTGGTTGGACGCGCACCAAATTGAAGTCAATGGTAATTAGCATATCTAACAATAGAGTTTCCTAACCGTTCTTCTAGTAACCGTGTTCAAACTAAAGTTTTGTTTTATACCCGGCCTCAGAAATCCGTATTTTAAATAATTGAACGAGTCTGTTTCTTTATTTTATGTAGGCAGTTGCATTAGCTTTGTTTGTAGATGTATATACTGTATTATTATGGGTTTATAACTGGAGTTTTCACTGTTTCGGGTGAGTATAATCAAATAAAAAATACTATACATGAGACACGTGCAGCCAATAAGCTGGAAATAAAGTACCCAACCGTAGATAATTAGTCGAAATTCGCACCAAAAAAACACGAGTTTATGAAGTCAACATAGAAAAACTAAAACCTAAATACACAGCAGCCCGTCGTTTCATTCCATGTATAGCCAAGCAGTATCGATAAAGAAGAAGTATCAGTGAAAACTCTCACAAGACTGTGATCTCGTGGGTATCAACACGGTCTCCAACAGCGGGTAACGAAGATATCCTTTTAAATGATACAGTCCCGCAGAGAAAACGAAAATGTTTCTTGTTTTAGTAAAACCCACAGACGCTCGGAACGTTTCTTGGATAATAAAAGGGACCTATATAAAGTAGGGTCGGTATACTTAGTCAGTCGCCGATACATTTGCCGACCACCAGTATAATAACACAAGGTAAGCTTTGTCACCATGACATCGACACTTTCCCACAACTCAAGCATGATATCGGTAGAAACTATCGCACTATTTTCTGCATCTTGTATTTGTTATTTCTTTAATAGAATGAATTATGTCTAACTTAGAAATAAAAAAAGGTTAAAGAAACCTGTACAAGTATGGATTATAAAACATAAATGATTGTAATTAAAAGATAAAATAAAACTAAATTAAGTGTGCTGCTTATTATTGGAATTTGTAAAATAAAAATATAAAAGTTAACGCTTAATGATGGTGCATAAAACGCAATCTGCAATTGGCATTACTGTGATGACGCATGCGTTGTAGAATACGGAAAAAAAGCCCGAGGCATGCGCACTGCGTACACAATATGCTAATAACTGTAACGAGACTATGACGTAGACATATCTCATGAATTTTAAAGTGCAATTATTAATAGAAAGCATTTATTATGAAACGCTGGAATCAAGTATATACGTATATACTCTGTCTAGTGTGGTTATTTGAAGATTGTACACGTATTCTGTCCTAAAAAACTAGTCACCAAATTTAACAAGTGTCTGCGCTTTTACACGTTGGCCTGCGTGAGCGTCGGCAAGCCTAAATAGGTTTCGATTGATTACAGCGCCACCAGTGGCTGTTTCCGGCTTCATGCGTCAAGAACTTCAAAAATACAAACATACTGACGTGTCGCTTTCTTGCTATTAAGGTGAACGCCTATCCATAAATTCGAATACCAAGTATGTATTCATTTACAATAAATTGTACTTCCGGGCAATACTGGTTTTAAAAAAGTGATTAGCCACCAGCCGAATTTTTTAGAACATGATGGTTGTGTTTTAGTGAATAGTTGCAATGTTGGCAGTATTTAGACGCTTGTACCATATGTTCCCATGGCAGAGATATTATGCCATATCTCAAATTTTAGGCTGGCAACATAGGCTGAAAAAAATATATATTATACAGAACACTAAAATCTTTAAATATCAAAGTTTAAATCAATACAAACCTTTGTTTCAAAAGTTTTGTTAGGCGACTGTTCCTAACATTAAACGAATATTTAGGAAGTATATTTAGGAACATGTGATCGTTTCCTAGCAACATGAAATAAATCTAATAATTATATATAATTATTTATATAGTTGTATTTATTTATTTATTTATTTATTTATTTATTTATTTATTTATTTATTTATTTATTTATTTATTTATTTATTTATTTATTTATTTATTTATTTATTTATTTATTTATTTATTTATTTATTTATTTATATTGTGTCATATACAAATCCCATGTCATTGTTGGATGGAGATGTACTATGCATTACGTTTCTAGAAAATGTTCTACAAAATTAAAATTAAAATTAAATTATAACGAAGTGAAATTTCTTTTGACATAGTGCATAATGTGTCAAATCATAACATTTGGCATGGCGAACTATCGCAGACCATTCACAAAACCACGCGAATAACACGGTTTCAAGGCATACACACTTTGCTACGCCTCGCACATTATGTCGTTCATAGTGTACTTTCGTTCATTATGAGCCACCAGGAAGTACATTATTGTTGAAATATAACATGCATGAATAGCTCGGTTGTTTGTTAATCATCAGTAATGAACAATTTCATTCACTGTATGAAAGATGACAACACCAAATGAAAAAAATTATATATTCTCCTATACATTCCACAGTATGTAACCACGTCATTTGCCAAACAGTTCCACTTTTGGAATAGTTTGGCGTCAGCAAAAAACAACTTTAATCCATATCAATCCAACTTTATTACAAACAGAGGAACTCGTATACAACTGTGAAACAAAATATTTCATGTTCGGCAACATGGCAACGCTACTCACTGCATTATTTGTTTCGTAAAGTTGCTATAATGTTTGTTTTTTTAATAATGCAAAATACACGCAACTGTATTAAGTTGTGGAAGCTCAGTGATCATTTCAATGACCAAGAAGAGAACACCATGTTAATGAACACATTTTATCTTTTCTTGGCGGTTTAAGTTTTTATTCAGCCCTATGTTGATGATATGTATCACTGATTCCTTCGAAATTTACAACTATGAGGATTTATATCACGAAAGCCCCTGTTTTTTCAAGCCTGAATTCTCGGTTCAATTTTCTTACCGTGGTTGGCGAGTTAAAATTTTGAAGCGCTACGCGCCAACCATTTAAAAATCTAGGGGGAGGGGCATTTACATTTAAAAATGTACATTTTTTAACCTCATCTATATTCTCAGCATTTCTTTACCACTTCCATTTTTGGTTAATATAAACTTTAATTGCCGATCACTGGTAGCATAGTGGTTGTTGCATCAGACTCATGATCGGTAGACCCAAATTCAAATCCAACCTTAGGCTGAACATCACAAGGGTCGACCCCTTCCTACTCTGGGCGAGTGTGCCACAGACTCAATGGGAAGGCCAATTCCACTGGCTGAGATTCATTCACTAACGAGTGCGGCTTATGGGGTACCTTGGTTAAGGTCTGCAGGTGCTTGTGTTTGACCTGGTTGAGGCCAGGATAGCGCATTAAATTGCCATTCATGGAGAGATGGCCGCACAGCTTTGTCATGTGTCCCAAAAACATGTAATATGGCTTCTGTGGCAAAAATGCGCTATATGTCAGCACTTGCAACTTGCACATACAAACAAAGTCAGGAGAGACATTCAATGCCCAGAACCGTCACAAAAAAACCTTTAAAACAAATACGTGAAAATGAAGAAAAAATAAAAAATATTTAAAAAAAAACTTTAATTGCCACAATACTAAGTTAAATATTTTACCAGTTTAAAATATATATAACCGTGAAACCCTGACCAATGTAGTTCATACTTTTATTATACACTCATTTTATCAAAGGTTTGTTTGTGGTATCCTTAACAGCCGCTGACAAATTCATAGCAATGTGGGTTAGACAGTAAGATAATTTGTACATTGGTATAACTGTTGTCAAAATATTACGTTACACATTCTTTTGGTAACATTTCACAATAGTAGATAGTTGGCGTTTTAAATTGTCATCTTCTTAAAACTAAAATGTACTATAAAAAATACATGTATGTTTGAATTAGCATGTAATTGTATCACTTATTAATCGGCCTATTAATCCCATGAAATTTGTCCATGTACAAACGTGTTTTATTTGAATGTCATCGTTTCAAACAAATAGTTTACTATTCATACATAACACGTGTATTTCGAGGTGTATAAGTGAGTGCATGCCAGGTTTTAATTATAACTTAATGAAATAAGCATGTGCGAAGAATGTATGGAACAAAATGATAAAATATAATGTTGGTGAATTTCTTAGATGATCTGTAATTTATATTGAGGCTAAATGTGTCCCATCTGTGTTTGCCTACCTTGTCTAATGTGAATATCAGACGATCTTGCGTCACTCTACGACTTCTGGCGTGGAGGGAATACTATTATTCAGCGCAAGACATAATAAATAGACTAACATCACATCATTTATTTCACTAGCAGATTTTCTACTGTAACTAGACATATTTTCCGCAGCATGAGCGTTGATTATTTTCTGTCTTGATTCTATATTTGATACTCGATTTGTAACATCTTCCAACTTTTCTGATGAATGTCTGATTAAGCGCTTCTGGTCCTACGATTTCTGTTGCAACTCCTCAACATCCGCCACATATTAGTAATCGCATATTGTTTCTGCTCATCCAAAAATTACCGTTCCTTCATGTATATTTGATTTTAATATGAGAACGCATCTATGTAGATTTGCAAATTCAGAGTAATCGGTCTTGAAATAAAAATGATGTGTTTTTCAGTATAGTATGTGTTTTATAGTATGAGACATGATAACGTGGAGTTCTACAGCCATGCAAATCATCATGGGAGAAAATACGTTTTTTCCGGATTGGCTGCATGACACTGCACCATTAAAGTACAACAACGACGACCCCCTTCTAACGACACCAAATGATATATCATAGTATGAACTGTCTAGAAAATGTCGTTTACCCGATCAAATTCGAGCCATTTTTCGAAAATCTGCTAAAAACTGTGCCACATCTAGCCTCGTCCGCCGTCGGTCCGGAAAACGGGAGTCACGTGACAGATAAGTGCGTGACGTAATAAGTGGAACTTATTCCTCATAGCGGTCAGTGACAATGGCGTTATCTATGGCCGATGCAAGTGATACTGATAGCTCGAGCGCGGAAAGCATTGAGCTCTCCTGCTATTTTTCCTCATTCGAAAGTAGCGAAGACACGGAATATATGATTTTGAGTTCAACTATCCCAAGAAATGAAATAGAACCATACATGTGTGAGCCGTTTTGTGACGACAGTTCTGAGGGCGACAACTCGGAATGTTCCGATGAAGATCATGTAACAGACAGACTCGAAAACACAGACTGGTATGTATTTAACTTTGTTGTATAAAACGAATATAAATTAACTAGAACGCGAGAAATGATCAGCTATTTTACTGATTTAACTGTCACCGATGCGTACGATTTTCATACGACAGCAAATGCTAAAATATGTTTGTTCACATGTTCGGGTAGACAGTACTTTTTTCAAGTTTTGACACCTTATTATTCACCAGTCGTCATTTTTATTGTTCCTTTCAGGTGTAGATGTGGTAATTGTCGGGTAATGGGAACGGACAAAGAATGTGTTTGCTGTCGAGACGTCGTGGAGGTGACTAATAAAATGGAAGGGATGGCATGCATATGTATAACTGAATACCCAAGATTTAACAGTGTGTGCCTGGATGTGTGGGTTTTACAGACGGCGAATTTCTATTTCCGACAGCATTACGGTGATAGAACTGAGGATGAACCAAATGAGTACGTCAAACTTCAATTCAATGGTCGTGAAAAATACATGTGGTCGATGTAAAGAGCTAATCAGCGTATTTTTTAATTTATTGCAGACAGTATAAATATACCGCATACAGGCAGTTCGTGAGATGGTGTTTGGGATACCTGGGCAAAGACATAAGAGTTGTGATTCCGTCATGTGCAGTCGCAAAAATACGTGATGAATTTCAGTCGGCAGAATACCGTGGCTTCAAACTACCACTATTAGACTAATTTATGTGATCTATTTTTTGACATTTTAAACATCATTATAGCTATTTGAGTAAACACTGCTAGTCGACAATTTATACATTATTTCTGATTGTATCTGTTATAGACGTGCATATCTGAATAAAGTGAACATTTTTCACATTATAAACGATTTCGAAATTCAGTTAAAATGTGTGGTGTTCCACGGTGCTATAAAAATCGAATGCTCGATTCTATTGGCGTTGCACTGCAGTAATTTATTACACTGAAAATCGGGTGGTATGCTCTTTGATTGCTTGATTCTTTTCAACCCGGTCGTGTTGGCTACATAATGGCGGCGCTTGTGATGAATTGAACTCGGCATTACCATCGCCTGAACAAAGTGAGATTACTTCATCAAAAAGTTCATCGACATAACCTGAAAGAGAAGTAGAATAAGGTGCGATAGATATAACTGAATTAAATATAAAATGGTACATGTATTTACGATTTTGGTGCATTCCTTCATATTAACGTGACGTATATCTGGTCACTTTATAACTTAATATATGTGCTGCGAACGTGTATCTTGTTCACTACATATCCCCCTTTCTTATATTTTGGATACTTCACTTTATATCGTCTAGAAATAACAAATAAACCCATGATGAGAGTACAATTATATAACATGTACAGGCTATTTGAAAACAGTCATCGTGATTTTGTGTGTACATGATTTATATTTACCTGGCGTGCATTCCGTGATAGGAAAACCCTATCATCTTGGGTGCAAAGTGATTTATGAGACTATGGAACGCCTCTAGATGGAATGTTTGATAAGACGGAGACAGTCGCTTCATATCACTGCAGATACTTCTTCCGTTTACAATTGCTGCGAGTTTTTCGTAAGATTTTGAACCTAATAAAGAAAATATAATGTCATGATTTGGATAGTTTTGAGGCAAAGTCCGGGTATGTATACTCAACCACGTCGATAATTCATATTATATATCTCTATCACAGTTAGAACCCCGACTATCCTCAAAATGAAGCCTCTCCAACAAAAATGTACGAGTCTGGGAAACAGTATTTTGCTGTAATGACGTTCATGTTGAAAAAAAAATATTCACAATATTATCATACTCGGTTTCAGCCACTTCTTTTGTCTCTCGCGCCCTCGTAGTCGTAGTCTGTGGGCACATGAAGGAAATAGGTCAGAATCATGTCCATTGTGAATATTCTGCATATGATTCAATAATGATTCCATTTGGCCAGCATCATTTCACCATTGCCACCAGGCGTAGAGACAGCACACCAGTAGACATGGTTGACTATACTGCGGCTCCATAGTGCAACATCTCCACAGTCTTTTTCCTTTGCTAATGCATAAGCTTCTTTTTCAATCCTAAGATTAGAACAGTAAAATACATCAAACTGCGTTCATGATTGGTGTACAGTGATTAATACTAATATATAGCAGTAACATTATTTTGAAACGAACAACGCTTACTTTTGGCAACGTGCCAAACATCATAATAATGCGTGGTATCTGGTATCTCTTCACGAATGAACTTATTTATTTATTTGTCTGTGTCTATCTGTAATGATTTCTCCGATATTTAACTCCTCCCCTTTTATGAAATCCAAACCTCTTTTGAGACCTTCCTTTTCCATATGATAACTTCCATTTGTTTCATTTGACTGGAACCGATGAGTAAAACATATTAACATTCATCAAATCATTATTACGACCCATTTTACACTCACAAAGATATGATTTCAAAAATAAATATTACCTGCACGAGCTGTACATCAAGGACTTTATTGACAGACAATTCCATAATTGTATACGAGCCATATTTCGCCGAATGCCCTGGTGTATCAGCACGTCCATCTCCTCCTATAATGATTGGTCTTACAGTAGACTTCAATTCCGTTATAAGTCGTGATTGATGTTGCTTCCATATAGAAATAATAGCAGGTTGAAGGTAGAGCTTTTGATGAGTGAAGAACGTAGTCGCACTGATTGCCATACAATTGAGATGTGTAAATATGCGCATAGACTTTGCCGGAGTTGCACCAGAGAAGAGAATTGATGAGGCAAGTAACAGATTTCCAGCAGGAACATTTTTAATAAAAGGTTGACTTTCCCATTCCTTCCTAAAGCCACAATTTTCATATTCCTGTGAAACTACGATGCAAGACCCAATCCGCTGCTTTATTTTTCCCTCAGTCGGCAAGTGGCATATGTTACATATAGAAAACAACCTAAGTAAATTGCTTTCAAAAATAATGTACTTTCTTTCCTGGTGAGGACTGACACTGGAATTGAAAATAAAAATATATTAAATATTAATGCAGCGGAACCATGTACGATACGAACACTTATGTTATGTCTATGTTACAAGATGTAGACGTACTTTATTTCCGTAATATTCATAGATCCGTCGTCTTCTTCAATAATATCAGTGATATTTTCATAGTCGTCATCTGTTGAATCTATTGTTTGATTGTCGTCGTCGCTATCATAGTCACCCATTTCGACATCGCTATTTTCGGGCGTGGATATATTAATTGGGTCAATGTTTCCAATATCACACTATATAGATATACTATTTTTTTGGACGTCGGATTCTGTCTGACAGGCTGATAAAAATAAAATAATATTATCAAACACACATACGGATAAATACTTGATACATGTATGTATATATTGGCGAAGTAACTCACCTATATCTTTTGTTGTAATGAAGAATAAACAATTCGCACCTCTACAAAATTCTACGCCAATCTGATGCAACTGTGTTAACAAGATATGATCGATCGGCTCGGTACAGGAGATCAGAAAGTAATAGCATGTTATCCTTTCCAATGTTTCCCAGATTTCGAATCCGGGTTCTCCACATTGTTTACATTTGTGTATTTCTCTGTCTGTGTACGGTGTGCTTCTTCTGTTTGATGCGCGCCTGCATTGTGTGGTTTGTTCAGGATGCATTTTCAATAAAAGCTATCTGTTGTAGGAGCGAAATTAAAGTAGTTTTAGTCGATGTTGAGGAGATGTACTTGTGCCGTGGCAGTGATAACTTGTATTAATATTTAAAACCGCATTGTCTAAAAACAATACACTTAACATTGCAATTATTCTGACCATCCCTAAATATTTCACACAGATTTTGAAATGTGCCTACATACATCCTCAAAACAATAAAATATCTTAAAGATTATCGAAAATTGATACTAATAATAAGTTCTCTATATTCATGCCAAATCATACCTAGAGTAACCGAGTGTCGATAGTATCTGAGTGTATTGAGCCTGATGTACCTGAAATAACTACAAGAAATAGCTACTTTCCTCGATCAACTCGATGTTACATAATTCGCATATTTGTATTCTTAAATACGATATGATTAAACCCGATGGTTGAGTGATGATGATCTTAACGGACATAGAATAGTCATCAGGTTATCGTCATTAACGGGAGATGAATTCACAACAAAACATTATTATAAAGTCCTGGTGATTTTGAATATCTGTAGCCATTATTGTATATACATACCGCTAATTCTTTGTTTGAAAAGTGACAAAAGGTAATTAATATTGTCAACTCCCTGATTTTACTAACAAATCCAGCGCCACGAAAGTATAAATTTATTTGTAGGGCCGGACATTCAACATTCTTTTTTGTCTTGATATATTGATACTGTTAACACTGGTTAACATAACGATTCCTATCCATTTTCACAATTCGTAATCAAAACGTAATGATATACGAGTGCCTTGAATATATTGACATGAATAGTGTTGAACGTACAACCGAGGAGTGAACCAGTACATTTATATGAATACAACTTTTACAAGTTTACTTGTTTTATTTCATTATTTTGCTGCATAACTGAATACAACACAAAAGTCATCAAAGTTATTTTAATGCAAACGTTTGAAATAAACACTAGGCTATTCCCCCATAAATTACCACCCGTCCTGGATACGATACATACTCTATTCCCTGAAGCAATCTGAAAAAGTGTTTCATCAGCAGAGCAACGTCGCTTTCTTGAAGCGAACGCTGGAGTGCTGGATAAGCTCACAGCAAAGAAGCCACCGTGAATTATCACGCTGCCAAACATTGAAGGTGTTACTTTTTCGGACTCGTACATATTCTCAGTTCGAATTTGGATTTTACCTTTTATTGGCATGATGTGAATGTCGTTGCTCAGGATATTTGCAATCACACGCTGTTGGACCAAATTAATAAATGATGCAAAATGACTCACGTATTTATTTTCATATTGCACATGTTTTGCATAGCATCATGGCAAAAGTTACAGTTTATTTTTGTTCTATTCATGTTTGTTAATTCATTGCTAGATGTTGTGTTAATATGATTGCTTATGGTATGTACAATATCCAATCGACTCTTAACTTTTGAAAATATAAGCGGTTCGGCATAATGGTCAGCGTATTCGCCGAACACCGGGATTGTGGAAAATAATGACGCACACGTCAGCAGTCTAGGATAAGTTACTAGTATTTCAACTCCAAATACACTTTACTCTGCAAGGGAAACGAGGGAATGCATTGATTTCTGATTCAATATGAGCATGCATATTTGATTGCTTGATTTCAAATTAACACGAAGCAGTACACAGTTCAAATAGATTTAGATATATAAAAACAATACTTTACAGATAAAAGATTAAATATCAAAAACATTCACTATCGAAGATTTGAGACAGACATATTAATAAACAAACGTTTATTGATTCAGTATAATATTAATAATAATATTTAAAGTTTTAAGTTCAAGTACTAATGGAAAGACCTAGACAAAATTTATAGTAGCATTCACGAAGAAATTCAACAAACTTTCAAACAGACAGACATGTTTCATGTTACACACTGAACCCAGCATGCGTTGTAATTACAACATTAGGTTATACATGGCACTATAATCTTTCAAATGTAATTTCAATAATTACTTCACCAGTTAGTATTGGAGTACCACTCTCGTACCAATTCAGTGCACATTTGATTTGACCAAA